CCCGCGCATTGTTCATAGCTCTGTTAGAATAATATCCAGAGGTTTTTATGTGTTCATTTTCACTTCTCATTCATCCGTGTCCGGTGCTGCTTCCAATAAATCTATTTATCTGCTGGTGTTCCTCGACTGTCTACACGAAGACATNAACAACATACCTCGTACGCTGTGGAAATCTACTATGGACCTGACACGTGAACCAACTACGACCTAGAAGCGACACAACCACAACCACAACTACAAACACACTTGAGATGTGCTCGATCTGCCACTCTTCGATTGTGTGAGCAAGGCAAACGACGACCGCAACGCCGATTCCAGTTGGGTCCTAAGAAGTCCCGATACGATACCCCTTAAGAGGGGAGGTTTAGGGTATATTGAGCTTATCAATTGTACACGTTATCACAGACTTTGCAAACCCGCGCATTGTTCATAGCTCTGTTAGAATAATATCCAGAGGTTTTTATGTGTTCATTTTCACTTCTCATTCATCCGTATCCGGTGCTGCTTCCAATAAATCTACGTATCTGCTGGTGTTCCTCGACTGTCTACACGAAGACATCTACAACGACTTCACCTACAACAGTACCATTGCCTCGGCAATTAGCCTAACCACCAAAAAAGGGTTATAGCGTCGCCCCTCCAGGCAATGGAACACCGTGCTTCTCACCGAAGCGTCCATGATCCCAGAAGTCACACTTACCTGGCTCTTCTCACGGTTCCTCGACGCAACCTACACATTCATTGGCGACGCTAAACAGCTGCCTCCTTTCGTAAGCACTCAAAAAGCCCAGCGCAGCTGCTCTTTCCTCACAGCCAGTTCTCGATTCGCGAGACGCGTAGGAAGCGCTCCGATCTGCAAAATTAGCACCGTGTACCGTGCGCATGCCAGGATGATGGAGCTCAATTCCTATATTTCTATAACAATGAGCTCGTATGTGGATCACCCATTAAAGAACGGCAAGCGCTGCTTAGTAAGCTGCCTTTGTCCAATAAGGGGATACCAGTCGCATTCGTTCACGTGCTAGGTGAATACGTAAAATCCAACGCAGGCTCGCAGAGTAACGAGATTGAGGCACGAGCCGCTTCCGTATTAGTCGACTCTTTTTGGCAGTCAGCATACCATAAGGGACATCGTGATTATTTGCCTCTATCGCGACCAGCTCTACCTGTGCGAAACTACTCTGGCCAACACACAGGTCACCATCAAGACAGTTGACGGCGCGCAGGCCCAAGGAAAGTGCATTGTCATACTTTACAATACACGCACCAAAGAACTAGGTAACAAACTCACCATTTTCGGTGACCCGAAGCGCCTTAATGTCGCACTGTCCGGAGCCCATGACGGCATGTTCTTTCTCGGCTCAGTACCATTGATGGAGGGTTCACCCCTATAGGGTTCTATTATCCGTTGGTGCCGTTCGCGCTGCGTACTCGCTACCTTAGATTTCTTCCGGGACCCGACTACAGCGGCCAAGGGTGACGTCACGTTTCGGCAAACCTCACCACCAATTCACCCGACATACTCAACCCGGTGACCTAAGACCGAGGTCACTGGATGGGTCTCTTGCTCGTCTGTCCCTTCGTCAAAGGCCCCGGGGCTATCCTTCATATCCGCATATATTCTTGTCGCTATATCGGCTGTTTTCCTGCATGTTATCATTT